AAGTTATCTAAAAAAGCTAATTCAGTTAAAAAGATAAAAGTCAGTTCAATTCCAAAAATATTGAAAGTCAATATCTCTTTAGATAATCAAAAAATCTTAACTAAAGTGCCAGAAAGCAACTCTATTCATCGTTAATAATATTATTGAGCTCATTTAGTAGATTATCAATAGTTCATTATCAAAACTCCAGAATATATTATTGTAAAGTTATTGTCCATGTATTGAAAATCGCATTATTACATGCAAGTTGAAATCTTATAACAGCTATGTGCTCAAGCAATTTTTTATTTAAAATTTATTCTATGCTTAATTTTATATAGAATTAGTTAAAAAGTTTATTTTTGTTAGACTATCTTAATTTGAATATCAAATAAATACTGTTTTTAATTATTTATTTTTTACATAAATAAAGTTAGTTTTTTTGGTTTATTATCAACCAAAATAATATTTTTAAACAAAGTATAGAACATTTTACTTTAACAAAAAAAATCTTGGTTTATAGTACTATAAAGATCTAAATTCATTATTAAGCTTTAATCGTCTGTCGGGATAATACTTTTCAATATATAAGCATTTTTAGATATGTCAATTATAGTTAATATAATGGCTCATAAAAGGCGTCGTTTCCTATTTTACTGGCTACTATTTGGTCTACCTGGCCATTAATTGGTACACAATTAAAAACTCTGTTTAAATAGATTTTTCTCTGAATTAAGCATGCTTTAAAACTGAAAAAAGTTCTTATATGGTGTAAGCGTTAGTCATTAATAAAACAGTAAAAAAAAAATTCACTGTTACATTAAGGCATCCTTCATAGCAATCTTTAAGAAATTTTTGGCCATTAATTGGTCAATTTGCCCTAATGTGTTATAATTAATGTAATTTAAAATAATTAAAACTTAAGTTGTATATTGAGGTATAATGTGTTATAATGTATAAAGTGTTAACAAATAGGATCCTTGTTGAAAGTGCTAAACACACATTTCACTGGAAAACATGTCCTGCGAAACCTCACAAAACAAAAAGAAAAGTTTATAAGTATCTATCAGAAAAAAATTAAAACACTATCATGAATCAACATCAAACATGAAAGCTGGGAAAGTAGATAAAACAGATGAACAAAACTTATTTTACAAAATTAATGTCAGAGGTGTACACTTGTGGTCGCCTGACGGTACCAAGCAACCAAATTTTGTGAAGGGCAACTAAAAATACTCCTTTGATGCAATAAAGTCGTCCAAAAGAGTAACTATTGATTTTTATTCTCAGTTCTAACTTTTTTTTTTCTAAATTCAAGAATTCCATAAAAAGAAAAGTAACTTTCTAAAATAATAATAAAACTATATTTTGAAAGTCTTTTGCTAAAGTTCGCTTTCTTCATTTTCTATTATTAATTGGAACATAAGAAAATTGTATGAACGTTTAAACGTATTTAGAAAAATACTTCCTAATTAAAAACTAAGAAGTTTTATTATTTAAACAATAATACTATTTTATTTTTATACAAATTTTATATAAGGATATAGAGATAAAGTAGTAGAACTAAATTTGTTAAATAAAAAAAACTTTGACAGGTAAAGAAGAGTTACACAGCATTTCAGGTGTTCAGTAGTTCAGCGAAAACTTTTTTACTTTTATTTTAAATTATCTTTTAATATCGTTTATCTAAAGTTTATTCAAAAAATATTAGATTGATAAAAAAAAAGCATTTAACCATTGTTAATTTAATAACTGAATTTTTTAAAGAAACAAATTTTATAAAAATATTTTTTAATTAAAAGATTTTAAATTAAGTATGATTTAAAAAATTTAAATTTAGTTTTAAAGGAATATAAAATAGTAAAATATTGAATGTAAAATTAAGTTTTAAAAGAATGTAAAATTGTTTTACAATTTTTATTAAAGAGTTTTTTTTTAAACTATCTGCTAATAAACAGATTCTATGTTGCTAATAGACAGATTCCAAGTTGCAATGAGTAAAGTTACAAGTAAAATTTCAAGATAAAACATAACTTCTATTGTTTTTTTGCTACAAAAAAGTTTTTTGCTTTAGAACATGAAAATTTTTATGTTTGTTTGTTGTTGTTAATCTTAATGTTTTTTTTTTCTTTACTTAAAAAAAGAAATTAGAAAATATGGATGCAAATCTTGCAGTTGCAGAAAAGGTTTATATTGGTTTGAGTAAAACTCTTTCTAAGCAGCTGAAAAGTGGTGGTAAGGGTCAATACTTTTGTGTATTAATGTGTAAAAATGTTTGGTATTAAACATAAAAATAAGACAAACATTAGCTTATTTACTTTTCCTAAAAGCAACCCTCAATTGTTAAAATAGTGGATTAGCGTATTTATGGGCAAAATCAATTTTGTAATCAACTTTAATAAGATTTTTTTTTTGAAATTCTAATAATTTTAATGTAATATTTATCAAAAAGGAGTCTAGAGTCATACAATGTAGAGTATATATCACATTTATTATTTTTTCTCTTAACAATTGAACTTATTATAGGAGCTTTACTTATATTTTTTTCACCATTGTCATTGTTTACTTGTAAAAATGAAGAAATTTCAGTTAGTTCTTTTTTAAGATATTGCATAGAGCATTCAGCTCTAACAACAAAGCCATTACATTGTTACAATATCTACTCAATCCTGCTGGGCAAGAACAACAAGCAATCATTCGATTTGGGACAAAACAGCAAGCAATCATTCGACTTGGGACAAAATATTCGATACATGTGCAATAACTTCCCGTTTTTCTTTTTTCAGCGAAAGGATTGTGTACTAGCTGTACACAATCCTTTCGCTTGAAATTTTTTTGGAAATTTTTTTTTGCAGAATATGTAAATATTGTCTGAAGAAATATAATGCTCCTCTAAGAACTTTCTACCAATTAAAAATATTTTTTTGATAGCCCTTTCGATTTACCACTTACAATAATTTTGAATTTTGTTTATGGTAAATAAAGGCATTTCTTTCAAGCTTTTGCACCATTTGTTTTTGTAATAGATACTTTTGATTTATAACTTTGCAACTTTATATGGTATAAAAACATTCCTTTTATCTAAACAACCATTTTCAGATAAACCTTGATACAAAACAAGATAAATTACTTCTTTAGTATTTCAAATATCATTTAAAGTAAAGACTGATATCTTTTTTTAAATTTTGATAGGAAATAATTTTTTTTACCATCTAAAATGTCATGATTCGTCTTGATTTCAGGTAGCCGTAACATTACATTAATGGAATTCAGGATCTGTCTATTCATAAGGTAAAACATAATTCTCTCCATCATAGATTATAATATGCGCAAGCAAATTAAAACTTTTTCTACTTATAAAAAGGGAGAAGTGTTTTTGTTTAAAAGAATTCTTTTCATAAATATCTTTAAAATTTTTTGTTTCTTATTCAATATCACGTAAGTTCTTTTGACATAATATATTTATGAATGTTTGCAAATATCTTATTGGCAACTGATAAATTGTAAGTCTCTCCATCATAGATTATCATAGATTATTATAAGCGAAAGGAAATTTAAAACTTTATCTTTTTATAAAAAGGGAGAAGTGCTTTTGTTTATGAAAATTCTTTTCACAAAAGTATTTTTTGTTTCTTATTAATTCAATATTGTGTAAAGTACGTTTATGAACCTAAATTACATTTACAAAAATCTTATTTGTAACTGATAAAATCTATCTATAAATTGCTTATAATCTTTATTAATACTACATTAAATACATAAAAATTAAAATAAATAAACTGCGATAAACAAACAAAAGATTATGTTAAGTATAAGATTGTTTTAAGAAATAAACTATAAGGAAACATAATTTTTTCAAAAAAAAGATTTTCCAATAACTTTTGTCATATTAGTTTAAATACTTTTTAACATGGTTTAAAATTAAGTTTAACTGCAACGCAGTACTTTTTAACGTGGTTTAAAATGAAATTTAACTGCATTGCGGTACTTTTTAACGTGATTTGTTGTTGTAAAAAAGTACTTATTTTTTTAAATAAAATAAGTGCTCAACTTATGTGAAAAAATAAATGGCGTATATATCAGCATGTGCATTATCTGAAAGTAGAAAAGTGAATGTTATCAATAGTTTACAATATTTTATTTACGCAAATTATTTCTATCCTACATTTAACCTTTTAATTTTTTAATTATTTCATCTAATTATTTCTAGTCTACGCTTAGCTAAGTAAAAAATGACTAGAATATGCAAAACTCTGCTGAATGCAATAAATTTTAATTAAAAATAGCGACGGGCAACTCATAACGTCAGCGGGAGACCAACGTTAACAAACTGATTACTTTCAGTCGCCCTTCTGGCAACTGATCAAAGGTTCGAGTGTACACCACTGTGATGATGATCAATGTGATGATGAAAAGGTTTAAAAAAATATTTTTTAATATTTGTATTTTTCAATTAATCACTTACTGATATAAAAATTAGCAAAATAAATAAAAAATGTAGACTAAGGACAAAAAATCAACCAATTACTGATTTTCAAATTGTATAACTTTAAAAAAAAAAAAAATTAAATTATGTGTTCTGTAGAACATTTATTCCTGTTCTAATAAATGTTATCTTATCTTAAGGTACTATAAAACAGACTAACAAACTAAAGTATTAGTATAAAATAAACCTACATAAAAGAAATCTACATAAAAGAAATCCACATAAATTTTATTCTATTGATTTGATCTATAAAAGACATTTATAATTTTTAAAGTTCGATAACAACAGCAACATATCATTTTTATTATTTTTAAGTATTTCTTTATAGCTTTGGTAATGTTTAACAATTTATAACAATTTTTTTAAATGTAATTATAACAACATTTTGCAATACAATAACAATAAAAATTTTTAATTAAATTACTAATTTACTAATTTATCACCAAAAACAAAAAATTTGTTTAAAAATTTTGTTTTATATAATAAATGTGCAGGCAAAGGCCTTCTGGTAAAACATATAACACAGAATACTTACAGGAACAAAAAGTATAACAGAAAGCAAATGATTAATATATTCAACAATATATTGCTCTGCTGAAACATTTTTGGTTTCAACAACTAAAGAAAAAAAAAAAGTTTATTTTATTAATAACAAAAAGAATGTAAATAGGTAAAGTATTACATCTTGTTTCTTAAATTAATTCTATACTGGGGAATGTTTCGCTCTTTAGCTGTTAAGACATACATAGCTTGCCAAAGAAGGAGAAGGAAAAGTCTTATTAACACTTAATTAATTGTGGTTAAGTGCAAAAACAGCTTGAAGTTTTAAAATGGTTTCAGTGGTAAAGAGAATGTTTTCAGTGGTAGTATTGTAATAAAAATTCATAGCTCTGGTCTGCAAAATAAATCAAGAAGGCTGTAAATTGCACACTTGTTTGATTAATCTAAATAACCAACTACACAAGTGTGAAACACGGATGTTAAACAAAAAAAATTAAACACCTATAGTTTTTGGGACTTCTGCCAGTAGATGAATAGCTGCTCTCAACAGACCATCAGCTATAATAATAAAAAATAGTGTTATATTTTAGATATCTATGTGTATTATATATATATATATATATATATATATATATATATATATATATATATATATATATATATATATATATATATATATATATATATATATATATATATATATATATATATATATATATATATATATATATATATATATATATATATATATATATATATATATATATATATATATATATATATATATATATATAAATCAGAAATCAAAAAACACTTTTGATTTCTGAATGTCTCCATTCAATTTTTAGTGCCTGGAAATGAGTATATAGAGAAAAGTATACAAATTTTTAATAACATTTTTTAGTACTTTTATCTCTCATCTTTTTAAATTTGCAGATTTTTCTAGGAAATTTTCCTGTTTTGTATAACACCATCTTCATTTACACAGTAAATCATAGCATTATGTTGAAAATAGGAAGCAACGACAAAAAATTATTAGGGAATCCAGCATTTTATTAATGAAGGGCAACATTTTATTAGGGAATGCTAACATTTTATTAGGGAATATCCACATTTTATTAACTCCATCAATATTTTACTAAATACTGGAAACACCCAGATTTTATTAGGGAATGTCCACATTTTATTAAAGAATACCCACATTTTATTAAAGAACACCCACACTTTATTAAAGAACACCCACATTTTATTAAAAAAAACACCCACATTTTATTAAAGAACACCCACATTTTATTAAAGAACACCCACATTTTATTAAAGAACACCCACATTTTATTAATTCCATCAATAAATTATAGTAGTCTTAATTATATGAAAAACAAAGATTTTTTTATTGTTTTTTTTTAAATATTGAATATAAAAAGTCAAAATTTATTTAATATAAAAATTAATTTTTAGTTTATTGAATATAAAAAAAATACTCAAATACTTTACTAATAGCAACTAATACTATTTACATTCATATCTAAAATTTAGTATTTAATATTCATATTTGATTTACAAATCCTAAAGTATTTAAAATACACTCAATCACTAATAAATAATATATGCAACATGTTGAGTAAAATATAGTTTTAAATGTTCAACAAGTTTTAACTGTCTTATCACAGAGACCACAGAAGAGCATTTAAACAGGAATATGTCTCTTTCCAATGTTGCTTATGTAACCAGAGCTGGCATTGCTTATGTGACCAGAGCATTGAAGCGCTGTAAACTTGATGCTGCTCAAAAACTTTGTAAACCAAAGGTTCTCAAAAACTAATTCCTCCTCCAAATGATGACAGGAGTATTTGTTTCTTTATATGACTCTGGAATGTTTAACTAAACAGCTTTTTAACAACATTTTATCTAACTTTAGGCAATAGTTTGTCATCAGTTATGAAGAAAAAAATTATTCTCTATTTTCTTGGTACCAAAAATATTGTTTTATAATGCTAATGTATGCAACATCAAGTTTTTGAACTTTATAATGAAATGTCAAATCACTAATCATCTATAATCACACCTTACTACAAAACCATCTAAAAAAATACTTATTTAATTATGTATAGTTAGTTAGATTTGTGTCTATCTTTAGTTAATATTTTCTTTGTTACCAGGGTTGCGGAATCCCAAAAGGACTCCGGCTTTATATCTCTTTCTTTTCCTGCTTTCTGTTGTCCAGAAGCTCTAAACATGTTGCTTGACTTATGATCTGTTATAAGAAAGAAATTCATAAGACTTGGAACTTGCCTAAGCCTGGAGTTCCAGAGTCCTTGCCACTATTATACCTAAAGACTGCAGGTACAAGAATTGGTTGATCCTTTAACCTAAAAGTCCTAACTTTTTTTTCAATTAGTAGTTCATAAGCATTTTTTTATTTTCTAGAGCTCCAAAAAACAAATCCTGGATACTAAAAACTAGAAAAAAGTTATCTTTTTGTGACTTTCAAATCCTTTTTGGGAATTCACATCCCTTTTATTGATTAAGATATCTTAGTCCCTTCTTATAACTTTCATAAAATAAAATAAATCTTAAAAAAAATATCATTAATTTTAAAATAGGTTGAACTTTTACTGTGGCTGGGGCCACAGCAAAAATTGGGACTAAAAAACTAAAACAACAAAACAAGCCACGCTCGTTTATCCCCTAATGAAAAAGTTATCTATTTTGTGTGAGGCTAAAAAGTATTAATTTTCCCACATCTAAATAAAAACAACATTAAATAACGTATAAATTAAAAAAAACAACCAGTTAAACACTAATTTTTAAAAAATTTTTTTGTGTGTATGTGTAGGATAGCATATCTTTTTTTACGTTAAGTAAAAAAAGATATGCTATCCTAGTAGAATTTTTTGCAACTATAGATGATGGTTGGACTATATCTTGACTGGTTGGACTATATCTTGATTGGTTCGACTGTATCTTGAGGCAAAGAAAATATTGAAATATGCCATTCCTTTTTTTTTTTCAAAATCAGCATCTATTTTTGGAAATGTTTGGCAATATTGTTAGACTTTGTTTTATGTTCTATCCTATGTCAAGTAAGGCTATCCTGTTACTGACATTTTTCAGGTCAGGTTATCCTGTTACTGGTAACACATAATAATATACAATCTGCTTCATGTCCTGCTACCTTGTAGGATACAGCTTTTTAGGCAAAGGCTAGGAGATGCCAACTCCAACATAAAACACCCCCTGCCTTAGGGCTCTTGGTTGAGTAAAGGCTAGAGATGGTGTCTCGATAAAAATACTCATCTTAGGCAAATGTTAAATGCATACGGCTGCTGTCTTGCAGAACTCCTCCTAGGCAAAGATTTAAAGGGTAAACAGATTCTATCTGTTGACCAGCCTCACACCCCTTCTTCATCTATTAGGCTGGCGTAGATGTATTTTTAATACATTGTTTCTAGTTTAGGATGTTAAATGTTGGATCTTCTTGACTTGATGCATGGGTTTTGCTAGTGTCTCTGTTTTTATGACTAGGCAACTCACTCTATTATCTCCTTATGAAGGTACAGCTCTAAAACTCAGTTTTATGGTTCTGAGGCCGGCTCTTTTCAGCTGTTAATGGAATCAGCTCTTAGAGAGGCTGATTCCATCAAAAGCTAAAAAATATCAAAGTATTAACAGTGCCATGTTGCTCATGGATAGTGTGCCTGTTTGTATTTTTGGTGTGCGTTGCCAAGGCCACATTGGAGCCCTTTGTTAAGGCTTAGGATTTATTAATAGTAATGAGGCAATTGGGCTATTAAAAAGTGTACTTAGAACTATCTATGCTTTGAGTCAATTTAAAAACGAATAAAGTAACAAAAACTAAAAAACACAAAAAACCATTGCCATCACCAAGTTCTCTAGACCTATCATTAACTAACATTCATGGCCTTCGAAGTAACTTTTCTTCTATTGAGTCTTATCTCTTGCAAAGTTCACTAGACCTACTTGCTCTTTGTGAGACTAATTTAAGGTTATCTTCCTTTGATTCGTGAAGACTCCAATAGCCACATGTTTGGCCTAAGCATTTACATTTGTAAGAACTCACCCATTTGTCGGGAAATTAGGTTCAAATCCACAGACTACTCTTTTATGTGTTTTCGTTTAGCACTTTACTCTATCGCCTTTCTCTTTGTTCTATATAACTCTCCTTCATCTCTAGACTCCACTCTTCTTGATGTTATTTCTGATCATATTGACCAAGCACTCTCTTTATCCTTAAACCAATATTGTTATTATTAAAGTCAGTGACTTAATGCTCATTCTTTTTCATTATCAGAATTCCCCTATCATTGTACATCTTATAACTTCCTTAATGCTGACTGGGACTCTTTCCGAGATTTTCTTCATGATGGCCCTTGGGTAGAAATCTTCCGTCTTCCTGTTGACAAATGTGCTTCTTACATAACTTTGTGGATTCAGGCTGGCATGGAATCCTTTATTCCCTCTTGACAATTTCAGGTCAAGCCTCATTCTTCTCCATGGTTTTCTCACATTATGCTGCTGCAATTGCCAATTGAAACCATTACTTCCATATCTATCAGCAAAACAATTCTCCAGAAAACAGACGTCTGCTTAACTATTGTAAAAAGGTTTTGTGTAACGCCAAAGCCCGCTATTTTCAGGTCATGAAATCTCTTATTTCAAAACAAAAATTAGGCTCTCGTGACTTCTGGAGAATCTTTAACAGTATTAATAATAAGGGCAAACAGTATTAATAATAAAAGGGCAAACAGTATTAATAATAAGGGCAAATCTGTAATTCCACCTCTCTTGTATGGTTCAGACTTTGTCACCTCACCTATAGACAAAGCTGAATTGTTTACTAAGAACTTTTCATCAATATCATCTCTTGATGCCACTAGTTGCGTTTTAACTGATATAGCCGTATAACAGGTTGATCCATTGTTTGACATTCATATCACTTCAGCTTCTGTATTTAAAGTGATTTCCTGCTTAGACTTTTCTATAGCTTGTGGCCCGTACAACATACCTGTTATAGTCTTGCAGAAGTGTTCTCCTGAGCTGTCATCTATCCTTTCAAAACTATTCAACAAGTGCTTATAAGAGTCTTGTTTTCCAGCCTGCTGGAAAGCAGCATCTGTTATCCCTATTTTTCAAAATTCTGGAGAGCGATCTGATTCATCTAACTACCGTCCCATTAGTCTTCTTCCTATCATAAGCAAGGTTTTTGAATCTTTAATTAACAAACACTTAATCTCTCATTTCGAATCTCATAACCTACTTTCTGATCATCAGACAACACTCTCTTATTGCTTGGAGGGGTATTTGAGCTTGAAAAGGATCTCATTTCTGCTACAGCATGGGACTCACAATGGCTGGTGAACTTTAATTCAGATAAAGTTCAATTTTTTTCAGCCAATTGTTATCACAATAATTTAGAACTTTCTATAATTATGAACGGTAATGTACTCGATGAGTCATCTACCCTTCATCTTCTAGGATTAACTCTTGCTTCTTATCTTTCTTGGAAACCATATATCAAATCCGTTGCAAAATTAGCATCTGCTAAAGTTGCATCTTTTTATCAAGCTCAACACTTTCTTACTCCGGATTTTATTTTCTACCTCTATAAATCTCAAATCCGGCCTTGTATGGAATACTGTTGTCATATCTGGGGCAGATGTTCTAATGATGCCCTTTCTCTTTTAGCCAAGGTGCAAAAACGCATTGTAAACATAGTTGGACCTACTCTTGCAGCCAACCTTCAACCATTATCACATCGTCAAAATGTTGCTTCTTTTTCTCTTTTCTACAAACACTATAATGGGCACTGCTTTAAAGAGCTAGCATCTTTTGTGTCATCTACTAAAATTCATTTTTGTGTTACTTGTCATTCAATTAAGTCTCATCCTTTTTCTGTTACTGTTCTTAAGTGTTCCAAAAACTCTTATTCATCTAGTTTTTTTCCTTGAACATCAGTTCTTTGGAATTCGCTTCCTTCACCTTGCTTTTCTGATTCATATAGTTTGCAATCTTTTAAGTTATCTGTCAATAATTATCTTGCTCTACAATCTTTAACTTTTCTTTTCCAGTAACTTCCAACTCTAATTAGTGGTTGCTTGCAGACTTGTTGGAAGCGAAGATGTTAAAAGAAAGAATCTTTTTTGCTTGAAATTGATTTGCTCTTGATTAGTATCTAATTTATTTATGACAATATTGGAATTAAAGCCTTATCTCCATGTTAACCAGGACTTTAGTAACATACATCAAACTGTTTTCTTGAAGATGTACTTAGTAACATACATCAAACTGTGTTCTTGAAGTCCTAATTAAGTTTAATAAATATATAAATAAATATCAAAAACTTTTGATCATGTTACATTTCCCGAGTGTCTATTTTACATATTAGGTCATTTACTAATTATAAATAAATGGAAAAGCACTTTAAAAAGTTAAAAAATGTTTAGTAAAAACAACTACAAAAGAAATTATATACTTTTAGCTCTATGTATCATCACAAAACTAGACATCAAATGATAATATTTAAAACCCCAAAAATTTGTGGAAACGGCAAGGGTTAATATATAAAACATTGTTGTGTGAGGATATATATATATATATATATATATATATATATATATATATATATATATATATATATATATTATATATATATATATATATATCCTTATATCGTAGACAAAAGAGACTTTTATGGTAAAAAAAAGTCTCTTTTGACTACAATTTTTATTACCTCGACTCTAGAGCTATATTTTATTGTCGTCAAAATGTCAAAGCAATTAAATTAATGCGGAAGTACATTAAATTTTATTGTTTTTTAAAAAAACCGCAATAATAATGACTAGAAAGTTTTTTTTAATTAATGGTAATTTTGTTGTTTTATTAAAATATATTTTTAAAACATGCGCGGAGCGTTGCTACATTGACTATAGCCTGCTGCTTCAATATATATATATATATATATATATATATATATATATATATATATATATATATATATATATATATATATATATATATATATATATATATATATGTATATATATATATATATATATATATATATATATATATATATATATATATATATATATTTAAAACAACTTTTTTTTTAAATGTCTGCTCTCACTCTCTAAATGTGTTCTATATAATAAAATAATACTAGAATTAAAAAATTTTCAAAAAAAAATATTTTAGTAGCTTAAACATCAAAATTATTAAAAAATAGTTCTTCAAAAGTATATAATGTTAGGCCTCAAAAGAAACAAAATTATATACAAACTTTAAAAATAATAATCGTTTTAAAAAAACATTAAGAAAAAACAACATTTTTGTAAAAACGCATATTTTTAGTTTTTAGTTTAAAAATGTAATTTTTTAGGCAGTGAAATCTAAAATAATATTTTTTTTATAAAATGATGATTATTGAAAAACTATTTTTTTGATAATTATAGGGACCTGTCAGATGTTTAAGGGTCTTGGGCTACCCCTAAAAAATTTTTTTAGAGTTATAAATAAAATATGAGTTTGACGGAAACCAGTTTATAATCATTTTTAATAAATGAGTAAACCTTCTGTATAGTACGAATTGGATACATATTTTGCTTATCATTGATCATTATTGTTAGAATAAAAACTAAAAGAAGTTTTATTTTTTTTTCAATTAAGCATTTAGTTCTTTACAACTTTATATGCAAAAAAACAATTATTTTTTTACTAATGTTTGGAAGTTATATATATATATAGCTTTAAATATTTTATGTTAAAGAAAATCGATGTTATATATTTGCTGTTACCTTGACCAACAGCTTGATTAGATAGAGCTGTTTGGCCTACCAAAAGATAAAGCTTCAATCGAGCAAATATGTCCATTAAAGATGGAATAGTAATAAAACAATAAGCCATGCAAGCCTAAACAACAATTATTAAATAATTCTTTACTTTAAATTGTAATTTGTAATTTGACTACAATTTATACAATAAAAAAATATAGATTTTGTTATTGTAATTGGTTTTTACCCTTATAGAAAACTTTTACCCCAAATAAATTTATTAAAACTTAAAATTAAAATAGTAAAACTCAAAATTAATATCAACAAAACAAACTGAGAACTACTCTGATAAATGCTGCTGTCTTTTGAGTGTGGTTTCCTTTTACAACTTGCTGTGTTTGAACTGCCAACCGATTTACGCACTTAAAAAATAATTTTATAAAACACATAGATAATAATAAATGTAATGACAAATAAAATTTTACTTATTTTAGCATTTTTGTGATAAAAAAAGAGTCAATAAAAAAGCTATGACCTTTTACATATTAAAAATTGTTCATTTTTTATTATTTAAATCTATATTTAATAAAAAATTTTATTGATTTTATAAACTTTTTTAAATGAAAAAGTTTCATTGATTTTATACTTTTAAAAATAATAAAGTTTTATAGACTTTATAAATTTTAAACCAAAAAAAACAACAAAAAAATAAAAACTTATACAATCATAGTGTTTTTATAACAAAAGTTATAAAAACACTATGATTGCTGAAATACTTGATTCCAATTTAATAATTGTTTTTTAATTTATTTTATAAATTTATGTGATAAATTAATTTCTTAAAATGTTATAATTATGAAATATTAGGTTATAAAATAATAGATATGATATTGTTTTAAAAAATAGTAGGAAAAGAAGTTAGGGGGTTGGCGGACCAAAATCTTTTGTTAAACCAGTTATTCTTATTTAATCATCATTATTGCTGAACTTATTAATGCTCATTTGTGTTTGAAACAAAACTTTTGGCAGCCATTGCAACTGAGGTAATAGCGAGAAAGAGTCGCAGTACTTTGTTTTATAAGAAAATGTGAACGAAAGTGTATGCAAACATCTAGCATATGTAAACATCAAATTATGTTAAAACATACTTAAACTTTTACAGTTTTACTTGAAAATTGCATTGCGCCAACCTCTCCCCAACCTCTCCTTAATTTTAATCTATTTTGATCTATAGCATTTATTTCAATTTAAAAAAATATTACATAGTTTTAAAATTTCATTAGTCAGCGTGCCAGCGTGGCCAAGTGATTAGCATGTAGAGCTCGTGAACAAAAAAGCCGTGGTTTGAGTCCTACCACTGACAAATTTCTTTTTTAAATTTTTTAGATTTTTAAATAAAAAATACTTTTGAAGTTTTATAGACATTATATACAAACATATGTAATGTTATTATACACTTTACCAAACAAAAAGAATTTTAAAAAACTCTAAAAACTTAAATTTGTTGCATATATGTCATGATTGAGATAATTATGTCATTTTCGTTTTACTTTTTAATTTTATTTTTTAAAAAGTACATCAGTACTTTTTTTTTACCTCAAGAAAAATGTTTTTTGTTTCTCCTAAATTTTTTTTTTTTATCTCTTTGAAATTATTACTTAGTATAGATACATTCTTTACAGAAGAGTTTCTATAAAATAAAATCAAACCGATAGAGATGTCCTCTTTTGTATTTTAAACAAATTTTAATGAGGAGTTGAAAAAAAAAAGGTTTATAAACCTTTTTTTTTTTAAATCTTTTAAAGGGATCCCTAAGTGCTCCTAACATATGATCTCATATGAAAGAGCATAAAAAAAAAATATGTAAGTTTTTTTTCTTTTTCACTAAATTGTAATAATAAATGCATGCTAACAAAAAGCAATTGCCGAAATCACTAAAAAACAACTCCATTTTGATTTTATTTTTTCACCATTGAAACTCGATTGTTAGTCTTTAAAAATCACGTTAGTACGTCACAACAACTTTAGAATATCTACTTCGATTTTCAAGTAAAAAAAAGTCGTGATTAAATAGTTAAGTTTTAATCAAATTTTTTAATTAGTTTTGCAAAAACAGTATAATAGCATTCGGTTGAAAGACGTCGTTAAAAAAAAGTTATAAGTAATAGTTTTAAATAGTTTAGAACTTATAAAAAAGTCTTACAGGGCTCGTATTAATCGCGATCGCGATTGCTACACACACTTTTGTGATTAATTTTTTCTTAAAAAAAATCTTTTCGCGACTCATTTTTTTTTTTTGGTTGATTAATTACTTTTTTTCTAGCTTAGCATTTTTTTAGCAATTCTTGCAAGTAATGTTTTTATCATAAAGAAAGTCACACAAAATTTATTACTCTGAATAGATAGATGAATAGATGATTTGCTCTTTCGCGCGGAGATTTTCTTTCAACGTAATTCATTTTTGAATTTAAATTACTTTAAATCTCTGCGTGGAAAATTTTTACAAGGTCGTCAAAGCGAAAAGTTGAAAAGTTGGTTTTTATCTTTGTTTATCAAAACTTCATGTTTAAAATAAGGCTTAAAAACGTTAAAGCAAAAAAAATTACTGACTTTTATTTGCATTTTTATACTGTTTGAAAAAAAAAAACTAATAAAAAAGAATTAATATATAATTATTAATTAATATATTATTAGTTAATTCTTTTTTATTAGTTTTTTTTTTCAAACAAAATATGCTAATAAAAACCAGCAATTTTTTTACTTTAACGTTTTTAAGCCTTATTTTAAACATGAAGTATAATTCGATTTATTAAACCAAATTTTTTTGTTTTATCTTTTATTGGAAAACTTGAAATAGAAAAATTGAATAAAAACATCAACCATTTAAATGAAAAACTTAATTATATTTAAACTTTTATTAGTTCTTTATTCAAGAAACAATAAATTATAAAAAACGTGGTATCTAAGTTTTTGACGATGTTTTTTGATTTATTGACGATAAGAGAGAGGGGGGGAGGGGGAGAGAGCAAAAAAAAAAAAAATTTTTTTCGCGATTAGATTTTTTTGCATTAATTCGAGCCTTGTCTTAGATTAATTTCTAATAAAATGTCTATTCAACCTTATCAATTTGAACCAAAAAAATATAGCAATTTAACATAAATGTTAATTTAACTAAAACATTTTGCAATCATTATTTTTTTTATCAAGCAAAAATGAGAGTAACCGTCACTTTTGAAACCATAAAAATTATTGAAATAAATTTATTTTTTTACTAAGGAAATATTTTAAATAAACTTTCATATGTCTAAGCCAATATTCATTTGTTTTTAACTGACTAAAAAGAGTTTAAAATTTGACTTCTATTCATTTTTAGCCGTGGAATTGCCCTTATAACACAAATATATAAATTAATATTATAAAAAAATTTTAATATACAAATATATTTTCACAAAATGCTACTAAACTTATTCTTGTAAGTAATTATGTGTTAGTTGAAAAAAAACGACTTTACTTTTAAATTTAATTACCAACTAATAAGTTTGCAATAATGACATTTTGTCTACTTTGTTTAATTTGACGTACTAACGTTAGTTTTTTGAGGCAGTAGAGTCAATAAACTTTGGACAAGACGCATTTTTTTTAATCGAAGAAAAGCGTTTTTTTGAAAATTAAATTTGTTAGTGTGTGTTCATTATTACGTTTTAGAAAAAATAATATACATCAAACATTTTTTTTTTTTATGCTCTTTCATATGAGATCATATCTTTATAGCACTTAGGGATCCCTTTAAAATCTTTTTGTTAAAATCTTAATAATCCTAAAACACTGGAAGAAATCTATGTTAAAATTAAATAAGTATAGTTTTGAAGTATAGTAAATTTATTGTTAACCAAACTCCAAGAGTTTTAAATTGATTGATTTTCTGCTATTTGTTAAAGTTCATTGATTGATCTAAGAAGACTAAATTAAAAATAAGTTTAGATATAGTCAGGTGTGGAACAGATTTACCATGATCCGTATCGTACAGGTCATGACAGCTAGTTTTTTTATGATAAGTTCAAAAAAAAGTTTTTACTAATTTTTGTGGTTAGTCTTCTACTTCTATTTTTAACATTTTAAAGTTATTAAAAAACTTAAAAATAAAAAACCTTTACAGTGCATTTTTTGCAGGTATTTCAACATAAAGTTATGCAACTGTTGTGCAACATAAAGTTATGTAACTGTTGAAATTTATGCAATTTAAATTTTGCTATTAATATTGAAAACTAAATTTAGATACCAATTAAAATGAAAAATATTGCAACAAGAAGTAATAAACTAGTTTTAAATTAAAACAAATAAACTTCTTTAGAAATCTCCCAGTAGTTGACAAATTTTATCATACAGTTATTCAGGGTTGTTCTTGTACTTGTCTTTAATGAAGTCAACAATAAATTGTCTTTTTGAAATTTTCATTAAATAAGATTACTGCTCTGTAGTCATAGAAGCAGTACATAAATACGCATTAAAGAACTTGGATGATTGTAACATTCTTGCAAATATAGTTTTGCAATATTTAGATCTTCAACAGAAGAAAGTGTTATGAGTTTAGCTAACCTCAACAGAAGAAAATGTTATGGGTTTGGAGAAAGATATAACGATGGATTAACTGATCAGTATTATGTTTTTACTCAATTTTTTTAGAGTTGATAAAATAATTACAAATAACAATGAACTTAAGCATCAGATAGGCACTCATTGCAATCAGCTTCAGAAATACTAAATGATAATGTCAATTTTAACAACTCCTTGTAGCTTTTCCATCCAAAAACTTAAATATCCAAACCATTTGAGAAATGAAAGTTCAAATAAATAAGATATATTTCAGGAAATGTGTTAAAAAATTAGCAAATATAAAATAAAGTTGGAACCAGCGACAGAGTAGGTTAGCAAAAAAAGAACAGTAAGCTTTTTAACAGTGAGTTTATTTATTTTATGGATACAAGTAGATTATTACCTCAAAGATCTACTCTATTTAAAATCATAATTGTTAATAAAAGTACAAAAAACGACAATAAAAAAAATTTTTATACAATAAAAAAATGACAAGGTTTGATCGAGAAGCCCTCGCAAAACTAATTGTAACGTTCTATGAAAATCGTTCAAGTGATAAAAAGAAATTAACATATAAACATTTTAAAAATGAAGGAATACCAAAGTCAACTATATTTAGTATTCTTGCAAGGTATGAGAAGTATGGTGTGTATAATGATTTGGTTAGATCAGGTTGTCCTCCAAAAATGGATAAGAAAAAAGTCAAACGATTGACTAAAATGCTAAATAATTCAACTGGTATTAGTCAAAAGTATTTAGCTTCATATTTTAAGGTGAACCAAAGCACAATTTCAAGAACTATTAATTTCAAAACAGATATTAAATGCTACAAAAAACAAAAAGCACCTTTGTATGAAAAAGATCAACAACAGAGAGCAGCAACATCATTGAAAAGATTAGTTTATAAAGTATTCCATGAAAAAGATATAATCATGGATGACGAAAAATATTTTAACCTATCAAACTCAAATATACCTGGAAATGATATATATTATACAAATAATAAATTGTTAGCCCCTGATAATGTAAAATATAAGTTGAAAAAAAAATTCGAAGAAAAGGTATTGGTTTGGATTTGCATTTCTTCAAATGGATTTTGTGAACCTTATATACATAGATCAAAGAATTCAATAACATCCAATATATATGTGAAAGAATGTATGAAGAAAAGACTTATACCATTTGTTAGAGAACATCATAAAGATAATAATTTTGTGTTTTTGCCAGATCTTGCAACTGCTCATTATGCTAATAAAACAGAAAATTGGTTTATTGATAATTCCATAGAATTTGTACAAAGATGCACTAATCCACCAAATGTTTCACAGGCTAGACCAACTGAAACATTTTGGGCTATTTTAAGTCAGATGGTATACAGTGATGGTCGGAGAGCAGGTAGCATATATCAACTAGTTCGAAGAATAAAGAGCAAATTAAATGAAATAAAAGAAAATGATCCAGATCTGTTACAAAGACTAATGATGAGTGTTAAAACAAAACTTCGAAAAGTCGCTGATAGAGGCGTCTATTCAATATGTTAAATATATTAATAAATACTAGAATGAATGTTCTTTATTACCATATAGTTTCATTTTTTTATCTAACTAACAATATTTTTTTACGACTCTATAAAAAAAGTTTTACTTTTATTAGACTTATGCATAACCTTTCGATTCAAATTTTTTCGGTTGTAAAATTCGGTTCTAAAACTTTCAACGCAAGAAAGGATTTTGTAATTCAGATAAAACACTTTTTAAAAAAAGAGATTATTAAGGTTTAATTAAAAAAAAAAAATTTTAATACATAAGACTATTATTTTGTAATTCTATTCAGTATTTAATGTTAATATTCTAATTGAATTATGCAACAAACTTAAATTAAGGTAAATTATAAGATGGTAAAATTATATGGTATTATAAAAATTATTTAGTAAGAAAACTATTGTCAAATGAAGGTTTTTAATGAGTGTGCAGAGAGAGGCATCAGAGAGAGGCATAGCTCTTATCATAACCTTTAAGTCTATGAATAAAAAAAATTAAGAGCAAAAACAGTTCCTTTTTAGGTGGATGAAAAAACCTGAAAGAATTTCCTAAAGCATCTAAAATCAATCTAAAATAGGAGTAGTAAGCTTCATCATCTAATGATGATAAAGCTGACTACTCCCAATTAATAAAAACACAATGAACGAAAATGAACATGATCTACATTGTTAAATAACATATATAAACTGCAAAATATAATTTGTTACAGTTGATAACATTTGTTAAAAAAAATATTTAAAATTTTGAACTTTTTGACTATGAGATAAGTAAAACGATCATGTGTTTTTCTAAAGATTTAAAAAAATTTACTTTAGTTGACAAATTTAGTTTTTTATTTTTTGGGAATATATCTATAAAATATTTTATATGTTTTATTTGAAATTCTTGTCAATGACATCGAAACTTGCAAGAAATCTTTTATTTATATATTAAAAAAAACGCATTATCACAAAATATTTTAGCAAAAAGTTCTTTGCTACTAATGATTAAACATTTAGAGAAGATTACAGAGTTTTGCAATAAGATCTTTTACTTTTTTTTTTTTTTTGCTACCTTCTAATTTTTTTAAAGCTTAACACAATATTACTAATGTTTTGCATGACATTGTAATATTGTGACACATTGTAATATTGTTTATAAACATCTATATACAGTGTTTGTAAAGCATTTATGGCAAAAACAGCCATGGAAACAGCAAAAATAAAGAGACAGAAAAGTGAATTAATAATGACATGTGCAGTTTCTGTTAATAGTTTATATCAGAAGATGCAGGTCACTGAAAATTTGAAGAACAAAGAAAAATTAAGAAAAATTATTGAAATAAGTATTTGTTTTGAATTACTAAGATTAATGTTGGTAAATCTGAACACCGCACTAAGGACTAAAAAGAACTTAAGGCCCCAACACACAGCATCGCAGGAAATTTTTTTTTACTAGAAGAGAAAAAAAAAAAAAAGCAAAAAGATTAAGATTAAATTAAAACAAAAAAAAACAAAAAAAAAATTAGCATTAAGTGGAAAGATTTTCACCAAAAAGAAAATCTGAGGAGAAACTGAGCACTTCATCAGAAACAAGAAGCCAAGTAAGGAAGGTTTGTTGAAGGTTTGTTGTTTTTTGTATTTTATAGTTTTTGGTACCGGTAGTACTAAATACAGCATTTAATAGTTCAAACAACTGTCTCATAAGTATAAATAAACCCTAAGCTGCAACAAAAGGCTCCAAATGTGGTCTTGACAACCCACAACAAAAGTACGAACAAGGACACCATACATGCACAGCATGGTACTGTTTGTACTCTGACACCTAATAGCTGTTGATGGAAACAACCTTTCTGAGAGCTACCATAGAATTGAGAAACCTGACTACCAGCCAGCCTCAGAACCATAAAACTTTTAGAGATGTATTCTCATTAGAAGATAATAGAATGAGTTGCCAAGTCATAAAAACAAGTCATAAGCAAAACACATGCATTGAATCAAAAAGATCCAGCATTCAACATCCTAAACTGGAAACAATATATTATAAATAAATCTACGCCATCCTAATAGATAAAAGGATGCAAAGCTGGTCAACAGATAGAATCTGTTTACCCCTTGAATTTAACCAGGAATTTCACACCTTTTTTCTGACCTATGTCACTTATGTGGCTAGAGTCAACAACGAAGCTCAGACATCTTGATTCTGAGTAAGAACTTTAACCACTGCACCACGGCTGCTCTATAATATATAAATTATTTTACATTTTTCCTTGTATTTGTCACAAATTGTTCCTTAAATGGACTAATTTTATGTATAATACTGAACTTTTATAACCATACATGATTGCATATTTTATTGATCAATTGAAAGAATAATATTCACCACGGATTCTACTTTAATAACAATAATGATTTCATTAAACAACTTTTCTTTTTAATAACAATAATGATTTCCTTTAACATAAAAACTTTTCTTTTTGTCAAAATAATCACTTTTATTGAAATTGAAGTAGAAGACTAAATATTTATAATTAAAAAAAAAAGTATTAAGTAATTCAAAATCAGCATAAAAATTAAGAAAAAGTTGTTAAACTACACAAATTCTAAAAAAAGGTAATTTTGGACTCCCATCTATCCCTAACAAAAAGCTACTCCAATATTTTTACTTTTTAATCCATACCTGTATCAATAACGTATTTGGTTTGAACTTAATACCAGTCAGCATACAACTTTAGTTTTTTATGAGTTTAAATGTTGGAAAAAAAGAAAAATTTTCAAAATTACTTTGCTTATTCCCATTAATAAGAAAATAACAACTAACAACAAACATCTCAAGAAAACAACAACTAACAAAAAACATCTCAAGGAAACAACAACTTAAAACAAACATCTCAAGGAAACAACAACTAACAACAAACATCTCAAGGAAACAACAACTAACAACAAACATCTCAAGGAAACAACAACTAACAACAATCATCTCAAGGAAACAACAACTAACAACAAACACATTACTAAATTTGGAAAAAAAAAAAAATCGAAAAAAAAATTAAAACAAAAGCATTAAAAGTAAATAAAAAATAAGTTTACTTGAATAAAACTAAATTAAAAAGTAAATAAAAGTTTACTTGAATAAGAACAATAAGCACTGTATCCATGTTAGAAAATGAAGCTCGTGCATCAACATAAAATTCAAGTTGCTTTTCAAAATCCCTTTCATAAGTTACCTAAAGGCAGAAGAAATATTTTCAAAGTTTTTATTAAGTTGATACGCTTAATTGTCATATAGTTGATAGTGTTAAGTTGATAGACTTAACACTGTCAACTATATACAGATAGACAGTTTGCATTAGTGTTTATTAAGTCTAATTTGCTTTGTGTACTTTTATTTTAAAATACTTTTTTAAATTAGTTTATTATGCACAAAAAGTAGTGATTAGCAATTCTTTTTATTTTAGCATGCAATTTTTATTTTATTTTTTATTTTTAATCATTACTTTAAATTTAGTTTAAATTGATTGATGAAATTGCTTTAATAAATAATAAAAATTTGTAGAAAAACAATACTTTTTTCCTTACTTCAAATGGATAAAATAACCACTAATTAAATACATTTTAATCCACATTTTCATGTGCGGATTCAGTGCTTTCACCACCTATTTGAAAATCTAAATAAAAGGGATATTAAAGAGGTGGGATGAATCATCCCACCTCTTTAATATCCCTTTCATGCTGTGTTCCTAAAAACTTGTACTGCAAATATTTCTAATCTCTTATTTTCTCAAATTATAAATGCCTATAGTAAAAATAAGAATTCAGGGTAGTTGGTGATTGCATTTATATTCTTAGGAGAATGTCACTGTTAAATAAAGAGTCAAATTTAATATCAAGAGTAAAAAGTCAAAAAACAATTGTAAAAAAATTAAAAAACATGTTGTTTTTTGAGATTCACAATTCCTGAAATTAGCATCATGTCTATGTCCATTTCCAACCACTTTATTACATAATCCTTTAAATAAAAATTAATAACTGGTGGACCTATTAATAAAATAAACATTAAACTCTATACAACTTTTACTAAAGATTTTTCGCAAAGAAGACTTATATTCATAGTAGAAACAAAATGATTGTTTCTACAGAAATGCTTGCATTTATCTGTAGAAACAATCAAGGTAAAAACAATAGAATTGCTCAGAGACTGAAAATTATTAGAAATTTTATTACAGTCACTAGTGGCAAAATACTCACAAAATCCTTGGACTGTTGTGCTTTCACAAAATTGAAAGTTTTAGCTAATTGTCTAATGTTGCTGACTCTAAAGCATCAATGTAGTGCAAATTATTGTCAAAAATTTGCATATTTTTTATCAAACAATTGTATTTTTCTTTGTTTAGATAATTTTCTTTGTCCTGTAGCAATTTATGTGCAGCTCTAATTGTAAACATTCTAGAATCAAGATTTCCATACTAAAAATTATGTTTGATTAATTTTAAAGACTTTACTTATCTGCGTTTGATGCCTTTAAATTCAAAATAAAAAACTTTAAAACCACAACATTTCTCACAACATCATTCACTACTAACACTAAATGATGTCATAAAATTAAATTGGGAAACTGATTCAAGAGTAAATGAGCAACACCTACCTTTTTGCCAATTATACTAAAAGCACCATCAAAAGCAAAAGAGACCCTATTACATAATAAAAAATTATAACCAAAACCTAGACAAAAGTACTTATCAAAGAATTTTCTATTGAAGAAGCTTTTGTGTTTATTAATTCGATAAGGTCAAAAAATATACAATTAATGATATTTATTTCTAGAGTGTTTCTAGAGTGTTCTTCTACTAGTTCTACTTTTAGAGATTTTTTGCTAATATTGGTAGAATCCTACCTATCTACCTCCTACCTATCTACCTCCTACCTATCTACCTCCTACCTATCTACCTCCTACCTATCTACCTCCTACCTATCTACCATAGGATGAATCTACCTATTGGTAGATTCATCCTATGAATATTCATGACTAATATTCATCCTACCATAAATTAGATTTTACTACTGTTATAGTAACTTGTACAATATATATGTAATATATAGGTTATAAGTTTTGTAGGCATTTCATTAGAAATATGATGGGCAATATCAGCACATGCATGATCCGATTGTTAAACATGACCCATTTCTAAGCCATTTTCTACCTGAAAATATTAGTTCTTATTAGTTCTTTTAAATCAAAAAATAGACGATTCATTTTTGCAGCAATGTGATGCGCAATCAAAATTACGTGATAGATAGTTTTATAGTGATTCTGCATTTTTAAACTACACATCTCTTGATTTCTCACTCTCTAACTCCATGGCTTGATTTTTGGACTGAGAAACAAAGCTTTACAAGCTGTTTTGTGAGCAACTGATAGTTTAAGACAATAACTTTTTCCTCATTGCTCTAGCCTGCACAAAAGCTTTTTCGATTGCGCTAGTCTGCAACCAAAAAAATTCTTTCTTTTTTTTTTTTTTAAAAAAAAAGCAAAATAAAAAAACCTATTGTCCTCCACTTTGACGTTGAGTTTTTAATACCCATATTGGATGATATAAAGTGACACTTTTATTAATTTGTTTTTTTAGTGTTTTAAATTTAAATTTACTTATTAAAATTTAACTTTTTGGTGTTGATTACACCAAAAATGAAAAATTTAAACATTACACAATCTGTAATGGCTGTTGCCCAAAAAATGGAAATACCATTCAAATGTAAACATTTTAGAAATGTTAGATTGTTATATTTTTATACAAAAAAACAAAAGATTTAGAAGATTATATTCTTTGATTGATAGGTATTTAAACGCATCATAGACAGAGTTCATACTGATGGTTGCTGTTGCTGGTGTTGCCAAAATAAGGGCTGCCTTGATGCCATTTGCCATCATAGCTCTTTTATTTTAGGTATTCCATATCCCACAATACTTTGCAGCTGCCTTTAAAAACAATGGCCTGGGATTCAAATTCAAACTTGGCACTATCTAGGTATAGTAAGCGACCAGTGTTGATATTTGACCGGGGCCAGGGCCGGGTTTATTACTGGGGCTGCATAAACATTTATACATCCTAGAGTATTTTTTTCAATTTAAAAATCAAATCTTAAGTCCATTTTTGCTATTCTGAGAAAAAGACATTTAAAGTTTTGCTTTTGATTTTTTGATTAAATGTAATTGTTTCAGTTATTTATTATATGTGTTAAGTATTTTAAACCAAAAGAGTTTTTTTTTACCAAAATATGGACATCACGCCGAGTTATTTTATAAGCTTTTTTGTAACATGCTTAAAAAATAAAAATTTATTCAATTCATTCAGTTAATTCTTATTATAACAAACTTTTTAACATCCTGAGGCTAGCTTTCTCATCTTTAATTCTTACGTTATGAAGAATAAGAAAAATTTCAACTTGAAAAAAATAAGAAAAGTACATGTGGGGTAAGTAAAGAAATCAATTTAGAAGTGAAATTTTTTTTTACATTTTAGACAAAAGTTTTCTAAACTCAATAATACTTATATATGCAATTTTTTTTTTAAATATAAACCAAGATTTTAAAAAAAATTTCCATGTTTTCCTTTTATCAAATTATTAAATTTTTAAATTTAAATACACTCAAGTGCAGAAAACTCTGATAATGATTCATCATTGCTTAACTGACCTTTGTGAAGCTTAACTGACCTTTGTGAAGCTTAACTGACCTTTGTGAAGCTTAACTGACCTTTGTGAAGCTTAACTGACCTTTGTGAGGCAAATCGTTAAAATACTGCTAGGCATCAGTTGTGCAGAAATGTTTTAAAACTTGAAAGTCAGCATACTGATTGCATGTTAAAGTTGCACAGCTGATTGGCTGTCTCTCATTGTACAAGTATGAGAGGTTTTTGTGATAATTGCTTCTTTTTTTCAAAAGCTCTCTTTCAAAAGGTCCATTCCAACTAAGTCTGTATTGAAACATAGTAGGGAATTCTGGGGAGAAAATAATTACACTAATAGGGCATGTTGGTATCGTACATTTGGCTTTGTAAAATGGTTTGATATGTTCAGAAAAATCTAGAAACATGTTCAATTCCATCTTAATAACTTCAAATGGTGATGGGTTCTAACGACACGTACAAAACTCTTCCATCCAATTTATTGGTAGCTCTGCTTGAACCTTTTGATTAACTAATGCCATATCACAGTCACACTCCATGTAGCTGTGGCCCCTTATCGGGAATGATAGTATGATTTGTTGAAATCGTTTCTAATTCACTACATTAAAGTGTAAAAAATGAATAATAGTTCAATTCTTATTTTGCCCAACACATGAATCACAAAAAATCTACAAATATGATATATCCTTTGGTAAAATGTAGTCAAAATAGTGCTCCAGCATACTTGCTACATTATCTGCTCGCTTTTTACCGTAAGTTTATTGTAACAAAATAAGTGTTTGATCCTAAGCAGTGTATAATGTGTACATACACCTGTCTACGCCTACGCCTGTCTATATAATGTCTATAATAAATACGCCTGTCTACGATAATAAATATTGTTTGTAGAAACATTAGGACAACTCGTTTTTTTAGCAAAATCAAATGCAAAAGCTGCATAGCCAGTTTTTGCATTACAACGTGCTTCTTTCTTTCTGGCATAAAACATCTCTGCTTTCCACAAGTGAAGCTCTATTTCTTGACGACTCTAGATGAGTTATTCTACAGAGGTGCTTTTGTTTTTAAGTATAATATTGAGCTTTTCACATGTGGAGCATGTACCTTTACGAGCATAACCAAAGCTAATGTTAAACCTTTTTACAAATATTTTCCTGGTAAAAAAAGGAAGTAGAAAATTAGATAATATCCAATAATATTCTTAAATAATCACAAATTATTAAAGTACCTGTAGCTTTCTTGACAAACTTTATTCTGTGGGAAGCACTCCTTGTACATATTGTACATTTTTGATAAGTTAAGATCCTCTGGTAAATCATCCTTTAAAAAGTTTGATATGATCAATATTATTTACAATATGATCTGAAAAGGTTAGAGGTCGATTTATATGTTTTCCTTGCTAGTTTTTAGGATAAACTCCTTAAAAAATAATCAAATATACAAGCTTAGTAATATTTTATTAACTTAGCTTAGTCAAACTATTAACTTTCAAGCTCATATAAAATCTTTTTTTGCTGTTGTAATTTTTTTAGAGAGAAACTTTG